TGGCGGACTCTCGGTAGTCACTTTTGGCCATCTTGTGGCCGCCTTAGCCCTGTCAAGGCGGAAGGATTCGAATTGTCGGTTCGTGCTCACCGACAATTCGCACCATCTCCGTGCCGTCTTGGGGCCCGTTGGTGCATTTTTGGGCGCCTCTTCGGTTGTCTTGGAGCTCTCTTGGGCCATCTTCGGGTCCTGCTGGAGAGTTACTGGGCCATCTTTGGACAGTCCTGGTGGCCTCTTGGGTCGTCCATGGACGTCGGATGCTCGAAAAGGCGAGAACCCGAAACACATCGCAACACTTTTAAAGGAATCATGTTTTTTGTTGCCTCTCGAGGCCCCCGTTGGAAGGCCCTTGGGACGCCTCGACGGCCTCGTGGGCCGTCTGGGAGCCAACTTGGGCCGTCTTGAGGCCAACGTGGCCCGTTTTGGAACGATCTTGGGCCGTCGTGGAGGCATCTGCGCCTCGGGAGCGCCATTCTGCTGCCCTATGCGATGGGTTCTGGCCTCGGGAGGAGGGGGTGGTGCATGCCCCCGAGCGCTTCCCGAGGGGTAGGGGAGGGGGGAGGGCTGTCATAGAACGTGGTCGAAGCCCTATCAGACAGCACGGTGGCGGATTCGCTATCAAGGCTCGATGTGGCCAGAAACACGTTGTTGCTATTTAGTCACCGTTCCTCGTGTTAGCTCGATGGCCAGTACGCCTGAGGAAACATGCGGAGAAAGAGAGAGAGAGAGAGAGAGAGACATAGAGAGAGAGAACAACAAAACACACAAGAGAGAGAGAGAGAGCGAGAGAGAGAGAGAGAAAGCGAGCGAGCGAGAAAGAGAGAGATAGAGGCAGAGTGAGAGACCGAGGAGGAGAGGGATAGGGGACGGCCCATGGGGAGAGGGCAGAAGGGAGGGACTGCCGAGAGAGAGGCTTTACGAATAGGCAGAAGCGATCCTCCGACGCCAGCTACTCGGACGCGATCTGGGAGGCCTTCTGGGAGGGGGATCATGGGCAGGAGCATGCCGTACGACGATGTGGTAGAAAGGTGCAGGAAAGAGACGTGCCAGAGCAGGACACAGAGCAGGACATCCCGCTGAGGGAAGTAGCCCGACGCGAGTAAAGGCAGCCGAGCCTCGAGAGGACTTGGAGTTGATGGGGAAGGGGCAGGAGGGGGAGCACAGGGCGGATGATAGGGCTCTGGCGCGGAAGTGCGAGGAGCCGCAGTGGACATGCCTATCCAGAACCGGCGGCCTCCCTGGCGGGATGCCCCAGATTTCTTGGGACCTCGGACGTTGGCAGTGAGAGGCGGGGGCCCCCAAACGGGGTGGTGACCACACCGTGGGGTGAGTCGGCGGGGATCCGGTGTCACCGTGCACGGTTCTGGGACCCGGGGCCGTTCTCCGAGGACGCCTCGGGCGACCGGGGCCTCCGGGGTCCCAAGGGCCGTGCGGTGACGGGCCGCGCGCCGCAGCACGCCGCCGAGCTCGGCACCGCGGTACCCGAGGCCGGCCGCCTCGGCGCACGATCCTCCCCCTCCTCCTCTCTCCTCCTCTCTCCTCCTCCTCCTCCTCCTCCTCCTCCTCCTCCTCCTCCTCCTCCTCCTCCTCCTCCTCCTCCTCCTCCTCCTCCTCCTCCTCCCTCCTCCCCTCCTCCTCCTCCTCCTCCTCCTCCTCCTCCTCCTCCTCCTCCTCCTCTCTCCTCCTCCTCCTCCTCCTCCTCCTCCTCCTCCTCCCCCGACCTCCCCTCCCTCCGCCCAGGGTTTTGCCGCATGGTCTTGCCACCGCACCGCGTCGGGGCTCCATAAGCGAGAGGCGCAGGGCTCCCAAAAAAAGCGGCGCGATGGGGTGGCCGCGCCTGGCGCGGCCTCGCGGCCGAGGGGGGGGGGGGGGGTCGGCGAGGCGCCCGTGGTGCAGGGCGGCGCGGGGGCGCGGAGGGATCGCGGAGGCATGGCCGCGAGGGCGCGAGGGCGGGGGGACTTCTGCAGTCCCAGATCTCACGACCCACCAAGCCCCCCCAGCCCAACCCGAAGACCTCGATTTGCCCTCCACTTCCAGTGGGGGGGGGGGACCGGGGAGCATTGAAAAAAACGTATGGCGCCCGTCCCCCTTCCCGACCCGAAATTCGGGTCTTCGGGTTGGGTTGGGGTGGCTTGCTAGGCTGGGCGCCCTCCTGCTTCGACAGCCGAGCGGCGCTCCGTGTCGGCCCTCCTCGTCGTGCATGGGGGGGGCTGGCGGAAGCCCGCCCTGCTTCCGGCGCCCTCCTACAGTCGGGGCCCTGAAGAAGGAACCCTTTTCGTTGGGGAGGGGCTCCGTGTTCCTTGATTGTTTCGCAGCTTGCCTTAGATGTTCCTTAGGTTTTCGATACGAAATCGAAGTTTAACTTATGGAACATAGGGGCCTCGTTCCTTATTTTGGGTTCCTTAGGTCAACGCCTCGACTGTACCCTTCATGCATCTACCCCCTTTCTGCTGACCGACGGGTACTGCTGAGTCCACCGAAGCTCTTGTACGTCAGGGTGATGGGGCCGCTGGAGGTAACTGGGAGCTGAGAGCTCTCGGGCCGCTCGGCGGCCGCTGCCTCCTCCCGTCTTGCCCTTCCTCTGCTCTCGCCGTGTGCAGATGCGGACGCGTCCAGCCTTTGGCCCGACCGCTTGTTGGACTGAACTCGGGCCGCAGACCAAACCAGTTTTGTTGGTTACGTAGCACCCCGCAATTGCGGGTAAGAGTGAAGGGGCGGGCGCGGGCGACGCGGGCGTTGAGCCGGCGGACCTCGTGGCCCTCACGAATGCAAAAGAAGCCCGCCGCAGGCGCCGAACATTTTAGGTGGGTCGCGGGGTGGGTCGCGGGTGGGTCGCGGGTGGTCGCGGTGGTGTCGCGGGGTGGGTCGCGGGTGGTCGCGGGTGGGTCTCGGGGTGGGTCGCCGGTGGGTCGCGGGTGGGTCGCCGGGGGGGTTTCGGGGTGGGTCGCGGGTTGGTCGCGGGTGGGTCGCGGGTGTGTCGCGGGTGGGTCGCGGGTGGGTCGCGGGGTGGGTCGCGGTTGGGTCGCAGGGTGGGTCGCGGGTGGGTCGCGGGTGGGTCGCGGGTGGGTCGCGGGGTGGGTCGCGGGGCGGGTCGCGGGTAGGACGACGACAACAAACAACAACAACAACAACAAACAACAACAACAACAACAACAACAACAACAACAACAACAACAACAACAACAACAACAACAACAATAATCCGCATCGCGGAAGTCCACTTCAGCCACGCACCCAAGGAGAGTGAATGACCGTTCGGTTCAGCCCCCTCACTCTGATGTTGGAGCTGGAGTGGCTGTATTTTCCCCCTGGCCGATCTCAGTAGGCGGCCGGGTTTCCAGGTTCCCGGATTTTTGGGTTCCCGGGTTCCCTGGTCGATTTCTTTATCGATCGGTCTCACCATCGATCTCATTACCCATGTCTCTATCGATCTTACTATCGATCTCTCAATCGATCTCACTAGCGATCTCACACTCGATCCCACTACAGATCGCACGAGCGATCTGACAATCGATTCCACTATCGATCTCACTGAATCGACATCACTATCGGTTCCACGACCGACCATACGATCGTCCTCACTATCGATCCAATTATCGAGTTCAATATCACAATCATCATATTTCAAACCATCCGCTGAATGTTTTTTTCTCTGGTGTAACCCCGTGCGGGCGATAATACATCATACCCCCTTTCTCCTTTTTTTTGACTCCCGTTCAATAGGATTTCATTATTCATTGATTTTCCACGGGGGAAGTTGCGAATCGAAGTTGTTATCATTTCATGTTGACTAGCAACAGCATCAAAAACGCTGAGCATGGCCATGGTGGTATCACCATATCAGCTTCCGCAATCACGAGCGCAGGTTTCTTGACCAGAACGGCCAAGGACCTCTCTTGCGCTGGCAAGTTGTAGGCACGAGCCTCGAGATCTCTCGAGTCAGTCTTGTGCAGAGGGCCTGCTGGCAAGTTGTAGCCACGAGTCAGTCATGTGCCGAGCGCCCAGGATCACCATCATCATGATCATCGTCATCATCATCATAACTTCACCTTCCCCGGAAAAATCGTTGATTATCCCCGCCACACCCCGAACTTCCTTAACTCCGGGTGTTAGTACCGCCCGCACAAGGATAATTTCACTCCGGCGAGGGTGGAGGAGGAGGAGGAGGAGGAGGAGGAGGAGGAGGAGGAGGAGGAGGTCCCACTTGTCGCCACTCAGAGCTGGAGGCACGATCCGAAGAAAGTGGCGGTGCCCTCCCGACCGCCAGCACCCTCTGGGGACGGGGCGGGCCCGCCGAAGAGCGGGGTGGAGGGAGATTCTACGCCTCCCTAGATGGGATCCGAGCAGGTGGGGGATGGCCGCGCATCGCCGATGCGGCTTGATGTAGAGCACGACTGTGTCCACGCCGACAACGTCGCCGATGCATCGGCGATGCGGCGCGATCCTCCGACCCCATCTGCTCGGACCCCGTTTGGGAGGCCCCTTGACTCAGGATGACGAGCCTGTCCCCGGGGAAGGGGTTCCCGTCTTCTGGGGGTCGGCTACAGTGGAGACCCATGCCAAGAGACACCCTGCTTGCCTCCAGGGGGCCCTGGGATTCTTCGGGTTTCGATGGCTCTGCCATGGAAAGCGCGACGCTCCTCTTGCACCCCAAGAGTCAATGGACGCCCTGGGGTATCGTGGTTGGGCTTCTCTTGGAAGGCTTCTCGTGGACTGGCCTCCGCTGTGAGAGTGACCTCTCGCCGGAGCGACCTCCGATGCGGGCGCAGCGGGGCAGCCGGCTGGCCGACTGCGGATAGCTGTTCGCTGGCAGTCGTTTTTGTGCGCTCCGGTTTGGCCGGCTTCCCGAACGTCGCGCATATCGTTCAGCAGTTGCTGACTATTTACTTGTTCGGCCGAGATCCGCCTCATGCCCGACCTAAGCCTGGGGTTCCTCGTACGTGTAGCCGAGGGGGAGCGGCGCTGTGAGAAATTCACGGCGTCGGGCGCACGGGGTGATCATGGCCATGTGGTCAGCCAAGGTTGCGTGACGCCGCGCCTCGTCTCCCAGGTCTTCTGGTGGACCCCCCCATTCGCCCGCGCACGCGTCGGAGGCGCGAGGAGGGGGAGGCGAACGACAGGCGGGGGCTGCTTCGAAGGAGCGGGCCTCTTTCCAGAAGAGCACCTGGTCTGCCAGAGTTGAAGGGAAGACACACGTCACAGGATTGGCAAGAGTTCTGGGCCCCGCCTTCTGCGACCACTCGCGAACTCGACCTCTGCGGGTCCAGTCGACGCTGGAACGCGCCGGGTCTCTCTCGGCTGCAGACATCCCTCGACCTCTGGACCTCGGCCTTCTTTTCGGAACTCTGATGCACGGGGCTCGCACGTGAGCGACGACTGCGCAGACAGTCGAGCGTGAGGTTCCCGCGTAAGAGGGCGCGAGAGCGCTCTCGTTTCCGGTGTAGCGTGCTGCGCTGGGCTGGCGGCCCCGCGCAAGGTCGCTAGATCACCGTGCGCGAGACAACCACCACGCTGTCCCAGGACGATGGCCCAGGACGGGCTCTGGATTTCGGGCCCTTTCTTAGATCTAGGTCGGGGGCTCTATCCGTGGCCAAGATCCGCCGTGCCCGCACGTGCCCCCGTCGTTCCTGGCTCCGCGATGCTTGTGCTGGCACGCCTGGCGGCACTGGCCAAGGTGCAGGACGCCCTCTCGGAGCTCACCGCGGAGGAGGTGGAGGAGGCCGAGGAGGTGCTGTCCTCCGACCCCTCGGCGCCCGTCGCGCCCGGCGGCGGCAACGCGTCGAAGCTGCTCGCGCCGGACGGCGGCAACGCGTCAGGACGCCACTTCTCTAGTCTGCTGAGTCTACTGCTTTGGGGGGCGTTCTGCGCTGGACTCAGGTAAAGCGCTTTGATCATATGGCATCGCACTCCGCCGGCCCGTGCTGCGCCATCGCAGGCGCGTGTTTGCGCGTGCGGGGTCTCTTAGAGGGGCAGTTTGGGGGCCCCTTGTTGGGCCTTTTTTGGGGGGGGGGCCTCTTTTTGGGGCCTCGTGGGGGCCTCCAACGGGGGCTTCTCGCGCGGGACTCGAATTGGTGGTTCGTGCTCCCATACCTCTTGGGCCCCATCCTGGGACCTTCTTGGAGCCCGCTCGGGCGGTCTCGGGCGCCTCTGGGCCCGTTTGTGGGCGCTCTTGGACCGTCTTGGGGCCCTCCCCGGGGCCTCTCGGGCCGTCTTGGGCCGAAGCAGTCACCGGAGATTCTAGCACGCCTCCGGCCCGCTGGGCGGACGAACTGCGTTCAGATGGGGTGGGGAGAGATTCCGATGCCGCTACGCGTCGCTCGTCGCCGCGGCTGGACTCGCCTCGAGCTTCTCGTCAGAACGTACCCCCGAAGAGGTCCTGGGGAGTAGAAGCACGGGTACCTCTTTGTTCCCCCTTGCTCAGGAGGAAAAGAAACACACAGACACAATTAATCCTCGATCCCCTAGAAAATATGGGAAAATATGGGAAGTGGTGGGGAAGACAAAAAACCCAGAAAATACAGGAAAATATGGGGAATATGTTTATTTGTGTGTATTTATTTGTGTGTCCCAGGGCCCCTTCACTTGCTTTGGCCGCCGCTCCGCTCCCGCTCCGCTCAGGGGTAACGACAGGGGGGGGGATAGACATCGGGGGGGGGAAGCATCGGCCCCCAATCGCCCATTGATCGCCGATGGGAGCCCGATAGCCCCAGCCTGCCCAGGAAGGCGCGGATGCACGATCGGAGGCCTCTCGCCGATCTATCGGCGATGTATCGCCGGTTCCGGGTCGATGCGTCCCCCTCCTATGCCAGCCAAGCCCCCCCCCCCCTTTCGTTGCCCCTCGTGATCGGGGTGCTCTGCAGCAGCTGCGCCTCGCCAAGAGCACTCTGTAGGGGTGCCCCTGAGCCTGTTTTTTGGATTCAGGCAAGTTTACTTGCATGGCGTTCCCTCCCCCCCCCTCGCCCCTCGTCAAGCGAATACTAGCGTGCAAGTGCCTTTCGACTTTCGTGATTTCCGCGCCCCCCCCCCCGGGGTGCAAGTGCAAGGTGCCATTGGGGCATCGATTTGGTTCTACTTGGGTGTTCTGCCAAATGAAAAAGGGTTTCGTTCCAAGCAGCAGAGTGGCCCCAGGGGCGCACATCGTCACGGGGGCCTGGCTTCGAGGAGGCGGCCTTATGGCACGTCCATGGCAAAGGCTTTAGGCATCTTCTATTCCCGAGAAAACGCCCTTGCACTTGCGTGGCGCGGAGGCCCCCCCCCCCGAACGTGCAAGTCGTTTGCGGCTTGCTTCAGGCTCAGCCCCCCCCCCCCCGTCCATGCAAGTCAACTTGCCAGAGTCTTAAAAAAACAGGCTCCCTTAGTCTCTCCGGCACGGCCGCCGGAGGCTCGAGTGATGGCCGGAACACTGAGGCCCTCGCGTCGCGAGGGAAGACATGCGAGGGGAGGGGAGACCCGTCTCGCCGAAGACTCGGGCATGCGTACAGGCAACCCGCATAGTGAGGACGGGCAACCTTCCCAAGGGCAACCTTGCGTCCTTGCCTTCTCGCCCCATCCTTGGCCGCTCCTGTTGGCCGCGGCCCGCCCGAGAAGTTTCGAAATAGGCGTCCAAGGCCCTTGCATCCTTATCGCGCATCCTTGCTATACGGGTTCACTGTACTTCCCCCCCTCCGCCGCTACTTCAACCAGCGCAGGGCTCGTTTTCTTGTTCATTGCTCTGCCGACCAGCGATGGCCCTCGCACACCCTACCCTCCCCCCATGGGGTAGATCTTGGCTGCTTTTGGCGCCTGTCTCAAGCAGGTGGAGTCTCCCCCATAGGACGCAGTGGTGCAAGCAGTTGCATTAAGCAGAGGTCCGGAGCCAGACTCCCCCCTCCCCCCTCTTCCGCCCAATGTCGAAGCGCCGAACAACAAAACGTTCACAAGGCGTCCTGGCGAGTCCCGACAGTCCCGACTTGCCCGAAGTCAGACTTTCCTGCGGGCCTCGCCACGCCCGTCCCCCCTCCACCCTCTGCCTCGTTGGCTCTTTGGCTGCTGCCCCGCCACAAAAAAAGCTCTGACGTCCTCGCGTCGTGCAAACGCCGCGGCGAGAGGCATGTGGGCCACCTTTGGCCTCAGAGACCGGCTCAGGATGAGGATCCGGCCACTGGGAACAGCACAGACGCCCCCCCCTCGAGTGCACTGTTCCAGTCCCGAGGAAATGGTGGCTGTGTGATCGAAGTGGACGATGACGACGACGATGACGATAGTCATCTTCATCGTCATCGTCATCGTCGTCTTCATCGTCGTCGTCGTCGGGCGCATTGCCATACGCTTTGGAGATCCGCGCGGATTTCTTGGATCCGCGCTGGGCCGGCGCGCCCTGGAGGGGGTCCTGCGCCGACCCACGGGCACCGCCGACAGGCGCTCGATGGCCCACCCCGCCCAGGAGCGTTCGGTCTCGCTGTCTTGGGGGCTGCGGCCGATGCGTCGGCGATGTGTCGCCGATACCAGGTCGATGTTTCCCCCCCGTGAGCTGGTGCCCTCCTCTTGTGCCCCCTCATCTTCGTGCCGCGCGAAGTGCAAGCCTTTGGTCTCCCAATATGTATGTACGTCTGCAGGGGGCACAGTTCGTGGAGCTCGCGATATTCCAGGGCCGCATCGAGCCGCCATCACGCTTTGTGCCGTGAGCCTTCAAAAAGTTGTCATCTACAGACGGCGCCAAGAAGCACAGGCCAGCGCGGGGATAGGGATAGGAGAGATGAGGCGGAGGAAGGATGGGACGAGGAGGGTCCTGGATTTCCTTGCGGTTCTGCGAACTACCTGCTTGTTTCGTTGTGTGTGGTGGTGGTGATGAGGGGTCTTGTAGGTTTTTGTCTCGGGTTGTTGGTTCGGCAGGGATCGTTCGGGGAGGGAGGTCGAGGGAGAAGATGACGGGAGGGTTGGAAGGAGAGCCCACCCCGTCGGCGGAGAAGGTGGCGACTCGTCGCACGGATCGCCGCGCGTCCTCTCCGCAGCATGCCCTCGCGCTGTAGCCTCTGACTCGCCTCCTCCTCGCGTGCCCGCCGCCGCGGAAGCCAGCCGTGGGCGCACGCCCGACGCGGGGCCCCTCGGCCTGCCCGGGGGGCCATGCCTTGCCTCGGGGCCGGGAGGGGCGCGCCGCCTCCCCCTCATCCTCCTCCTCCTCCGCCTCCTCCCCCCTCCCTCCTCCTCCCTCCTCCTCCTCCTCCTCCTCCTCCTCCTCCTCCTCCTCCTCCTCCTCCTCCTCCTCCTCCTCCTGGCGGCCCTTTGCCGGGCACGCGGGCGGTGGCGGTGCACGGGTCAGGCTTCTGTCGGGCATGTCCCTCTACGGGAGGAAGACTCGGACACAGTCAACAAGATCGTCCGGGGGCGATTGTTTCTGCATTCTCATACATAGGTCTGCTGATGTTTGATCTTTGCACGTTCTTCCACAATCCGCCTGCAGGAGGACATGCCCGACCTCAGGTTAGGCGCCCGATCACGGACCCCATGGTGAATGCAGCCGTCCGGCTTTCGCGCCGAAGACCGCCGGGCACCGCCAAAGACCGCCGGAGACCCGCCGAAGGCCGTCAAAGGGCCGTCAGAAGACCGCCGGAGGACCGCCCACAGACCGCCGAGGACGGCCCAGGAGCAATACGGGGTGGGCGTGGGAGAAGGAATACGCCCAGGAGGCTTCTGACCCGGGATGGTTCCTTACCTGATGAGGGCGGCGGTGATCTCCATGGCCAAGCCTCGATTGAAGCTCCACCGGCCTCCAGACCCTGGATTCCTTATCTGAGGGTTCCTTAACCAATGCACCCACAGTAGTCCGTAGCCATTTTGGCTCAAGCCGGTCTCAAGCCCCTGGTTGCCATCTGCCTCCGCTCATGGCCGGTCCGGGTGCAGCAGCTGCTTGAGGAGATGGTGACGGGAGGGGACCCCCGCAGGTCCCCACGCTCACGCGCGGAGCGCAGCGAGGCTGCGCGGCGGGCGCGCTCGGCGGCGGACGCCGCCGTGCGGCATGCCCGAGCGCGGGTGGAGGAGCTCGTGGAGCGGCTGGCCCTCGCCGAGAGGACGCTGGAGGCCTTCACGGGCGATGCTGAGCTGGCCGACAGGCTCGCCGCGGTGGTGCCTGCGCTGGTCGCGCTGGTCGACGGCGAGCAGCCCTCCTGGCTGGCGCGGCTCAGGAGGAACGTCGCGCTGCACGCCAAGGCGGGCGCCATCAAGGGGCGCATCGCAGGGGCGGCGGCGAACGAGCTCAGGAAGGCGCAGAAGCAGGAGCGCCTCGGGAAGCCCCCCTTCCTCAACCCCTCGGCGACGGAGGAGGTGCGCGAGGACAAGGCGGGGGCCGCGCAGAAGCAGGGGCATGCGGCTCAGCAGGTGCAGAGGATGCTGCACGAGAGAGAGCTGCCCCAGGCAGCGCCCGAGGACGTCCTGGGCGTGAACTGGCTGGCGCCAGGCTGCTGGCAGCCAGGCGACCCCGAGCTGGAGGCGCGGGCCTTCGGAGAGGGATTCGCATGTGGCTGGCGGCTGGCGGCGCGGCGCGCGGAGGCCTCGGAGGGTCCCCCTGCGGCTGAGGCCACGCAGGTGGTGACCATTTGGACTTGCTGTCTGGAGGCGGGGACGCGGCCCGAGATGCACGGCGTCGGGATCGAGCTGCGGCGCCTCCCCAAGGACAACCAGGCCCCGCCCGAGCCCACGGCGGCGAGCGACCACTCGATAGAGTACGGCGTCCGCCTGGGCCCCACGCAGCGGCAGCAGGGCATCGACGGCGATGGCGAAGTGCTGCCGCTAGCGGCCGAAGGCGGGAGCGGCGGGCCGCAGCTCGAGGGCCCCCAGGGCGCTGCGGCCGCCCGCTCCCGCGACCTCGCCGAGCTCTACGCCGCTTTCGAGGAGGAGATCGGGCGCTGAGCGGTGGCGGGGCCCTAGAATGCCTGCATGAAACCGCCGTGCTCGCGCGGCGCCTACACAGAAAAAAATGCACCCACAGTAGGTAACGAGGGGGTCCATGGTCGAACACGTGGTAGAGGTGCCCTCCTCGTATCATGCCGCCGCCGCAGCTGCGGCCAAGACTGGTGCTCGTATAGCCACTGCCGCTTGGGGCTTCGGGCTATCCCCAGAAGCTGAGGCGCGCTGGATATGGATGAAGATCTTGCCTCTAGAGGCTCGATTCCCATCCACATCAAGTGCGCCTCGGTCTTGTGGCGCCCCTTCCAAGAAAATTCAAGACGCACTGAGTATTGATGTAAATCGTGCCCGCACCAGGCCTGCCCCCGCTCTCTCGTGATTTTTCCCCTCCGTCCCCCTTGACGAAGGGGCCGCCCAGCATCGTGGCCGCGCGGGTGGTGCCCGACGGGCTACGTTAATTGCGACCTCGAGTGCAGTGGGGGCGCGCATCAAGAAACCATCTGCTTTTCGTCGGGGTACCCTGGGTTTCTTCGCTTCGCGCGCTGCGTAGTGAATCCCCGCAGCCGTCGAAGAAGCTGCTGCGTTCACGGTGCTCGGGGTTCCCCCTCCGGTGCACCTCGCGCGCGGGTTTTCAGGGTCGGGTTTCTTGCGAGGGTTTCTTGCGGCCGCGCACGCACTGTAAGCCCCAGCCCCAGCTGGCGAGGCAGCGCGCCGACGTGCTCGATCAATCCCAGATCGACCGCTCGGAGCTCCTGTGCGGCTGTCTTGCCGCGTCGTGGTCCCCCCGCCCACCTCTCTGCCATGCCCCCACCGCCCGGCCCTCGCGCGTTCTGGCCTCCTTCTCACCGCTGCCTCGGGGACGGGCGGGAACCCGTCGCTCCGCGAGGCACTCGTCGGGATGGTCGAAGTGGGGAGGGGAGGAATGGGGACGACGACCGCCAGTCCCAGAGATCCAACGCACTCCATCAAAAAGGCTGCGGCTCTTTATTGCGAAGGCCTTACGGCCGTTGCCGCCGACCCTGAAGATGACGAAAGACAACACGAGGGGGGGGGCAGGAGGAGGAGGAGGAGGAGGAGGAGGCGGAAGGGAGTGGGAGGAGGAAGGGTGAAGGGGGAGGAGGAGGAGGCCTTATGGATGTTGGTTGGGATCTCGTGGTTGACCTCTCGGGGGCGTCTGGAAGGCAACTTGAAGCCTCTTGGGGGCCGGTGTGGGGCCTCTTGGGGCCTCTTTTGGCTGCGGCTCTTTATTCCATTTTCGGCCTCTAGAAGGCCATGGCCAGGCATTGGGACTGTCGAAAATCGAGTCAGGATGAAGAGTTGCTCCCCCGCAGTGGGTCGAGCCTTCTGGGTGGCCCGTGCTGAAAAAAAAACAAGGTATTGGACATCAGCGGTCGTTTCTGTTTACTTTGAGGACAGATCGCGGTGGGTGCCGGCGCGGGCGATTGTCCTTTCTGGAAAGACGTCGCTTTCCCAACAGGTGCCGTTCTCTGTTTTGAACAACGTTCGTTACCAGGCATCGTTCGGGTTTTTCTCCGTCCCCATGTTCAAGCAGTGGCGCAGCGTCCTGACCTGCCGATAGTCCCATCAAGTAATGGTCTGAGAACTGTTCTTGGGGTGCA